CCTGGTTTCTAGGTGTTAATACATGGCTACATGAGCTCTGGGGCCCCCCTGGTTCTGAGGGGGAGTAACTGCATGGAGACATGAGATTGGGGTCTAACTCCCGGCGGAAGGAGGGTCACTGCATGGGCACAAGATCTGGGTCCTGCTGCTTGGATGGCAGGTCACTGCATAAGGGCTTCTAGGGGTCACTACACGGGCACATGAAATCTTTGTCTTGCTTTCGGGGGGAGGGGGGGAGGTGTCTATTCATGGAGACATGAGATCAGAGGGTTGGTTTGGAAGGGGGGCATTACATGGGTACCTAAGATCTGGGCCCTGCTCCTGGGATGGGGAATATATATATATATATGGGAGGAGTCAGCTGCCTCTAGGGATTATGATGATGCATTCGGTAGTCCACAGATCTGATTGGTTGGTGAATATTAATGTAACAAGTTCTGTGTCCCTCAGGTCTTCCTGGTCCTCACGGCTCAGCTTCTGGTCACGTTTGCATTTGTGGCCGTCTTTACGTTTGTGAAGGAAGTCCGGGAATATGTGCAGAGGAACACATGGACCTATTACCTGTCCTATGCCATCTTCTTCTGCTCTCTCATCACTCTCAGCTGCTGTGGCAACTTCCGGCGCCGACACCCCTGGAATCTGGTGGCCTTGGTATGTCCTTGGTCTTCACCTTCTTCTGTGGCTTGGTGTAGGTTGCAGTCTAATGAGTCTTCCTTCTCTTGTAGTCCATCCTGACCCTCAGCCTCTCTTACATGGTTGGAATGATCGCCAGTTTTTATGATACAGAAGCCGTAATAATGGCAATCGGGATCACAGCCGCCGTCTGCTTCACCGTCGTCCTCTTCTCAATGCAGGTTGGTGGCTTTTCTATTCCGATGGTGATTGGGAGGGGTGATGCTGGACTGTCCTATAGCTGAGTGGGAGGGGTGATGCTGGGCCGTCCTATAGCTGAGTGGGAGGGGTGATGCTGGGCCGTCCTATAGCTGAGTGGGAGGGGTGATGCTGGACTGTCCTATAGCTGAGTGGGAGGGGTGATGCTGGACTGTCCTATAGCTGAGTGGGAGGGGTGATGCTGGGCCGTCCTATAGC